CTCTTCCATCACTCTTTCTTCTACATCTTCTTCACTTTCTCTTCTCATCGAACCTGAAATCTCTTAGTGATCAAGACTGAATAGCAGTCTTGAAAACCTACAAGAAGCATGGATTCTTTTGGTTCTCCTTCAATAAATGAATAAACTTCCACTAGGATGGACAGAAAAACCAATCTATGATCAAGGACAAAACAGAGAAAGTTGAGAGAATAACCGAAGAAGCATGGGTTTCAAGAGACCTTAATCCAGAAGCAAATTGCTTAGCTAGATCAGGGATGGAAATGGAATTTTTGTATAGCAAGAGCTCTTTACCTACTTTTTGTCTTTGTATTCGAGGCATACACATTCCAGTGCATCAATGTACATGACTCTCATATACAAGTTATATTTCTATCAAAAAAATGATGATATTTTTTTTTATCAGTAATAGAAACTTTTCGTTAATTAAATTTACAAAGTTATTCAACATAGGAAAACCCAAAAAAAAGCAAAAACCTAATACATGAAAAGCCACCAAAGGAAAAAACCAAAGGATCATAGCCCAGCTATCTCCCCAAAAACAAAAATTACAATTCAGCCCAGAAAACCTAATTTCTATTTACCCCTTTCTTAGCCAAAGAATCAGCCATGCCATTTGCCACCCTACTAACCCATTGAACCGTAATTTGCATATTCCTGATCAAGCATTTGAGGGTCCATTTGGTTCACAGTTGGAATCGGAATCGAAACCAGAATCAAAATCCCTTGGAAACGGAGTCAGAATAGTCTATTCCACTCACCTGTTTGGTTCAGATGGGAATTGGAATTGGCTGGAATGGGATTCTCATTCCCAAGGGAGGGGGAGGGAATGGCTATTCCTTCAAATGGAGGAATGCCATTCCATCAGGAATAGGAATAGGAATAGGATTCCATTATTGCAATTCTGCCCAACCAAATGGTTGGAACCAGAATGAGCCATTCTGATTCCAATTCCACCCCTATTCCTGCAAACCAAACGGACTCTCAATTACAAAAAAAAGGCTAATAATTGAAGCAGCAAGATAAATGCAAATTACCTCTTGAGCGACAACTAAAGCAGTTTCATGTAATCTTCCATCAAAATATGCAAGCCTAGCTCCTTTTAATGCTGAAAACAAGCTGGTTTGTGAAAGTTCACTTGGAACCATGGGAGGGTATCCCGGTGTGTGAATACAAGTACGGGTCTTCCTGAAAGTATTACTCAATCTCAAGTCAAAGAAGATTAAAATTCCCAAGGATGTCTTTTTTTTCTGCTATCTGTGAAAAAATAAATTAATAGCTTAAATTATAGAAGGCTTGTCAATAAAAAAGTCTCAATCATGTGAACAATTTGATCCCTGACAATATAAGTAATTATTAAGTAGCAGTTGAGGTTAAAATTGGAAGTTGAATGAGAAAGTGATATCCGGTCAAGAAGAAATTGTTAAGACATTGTATGGATGGCCACTCTTGGTGAAGGGATGAGAGATCCATCATATGGATGGCCAAACCCTGCAGGAAGGTTGGGCGAAATTTCAAAAATTTCTCTCTCTCCCATGTGGGAATCACATTCCTATTTTAGAAAACTGCATTTTCAAGGATCAATCTTGAACCTAAACCGGACCAGATCTGAAACCAAAAGGGAGTGGAGGGTTATACCTGATACGAAGTAACAATAACCTCCAATGAAGGTGTTCACGCCCAAGGAAAGATCCAAAGACTGCTTCCACCGAAGATGACACGGTGCAGGATGAAGCAGAATCAGCAAGATGGCTCTTTAGCAAGAACCTAATTCTTTAGCAAGAATCTGATGGAGGGCTAGTGAGCACGACTTCTAATTATCTTTTCTGCCAAAAGGTAATATCAAAAACACTTCTTGATCGCTCCCATAGGTGGAGATTGAACTGGTATGGCGGCAGGAGCAGGAGAGAGCAAGAGCAGAAGACAGAAGCAATCAAACTGTATGCTGTCCTCTCTCTTAAATCAGTAGACTGATTGATGAACTAGAGGTTCGCCATACTCCTCTATTTATAGCCTTAAAGAGAGGTTCTCCTAATCCCATTAAGAGTTTCCTAATCTAAATCTTGTATTTGGATCTGGACTCTCTTTAAGAGATAAGGATAAYCCMTTATCTTATCTRYAGATAAAGATCAGCCCTCCTAATCTAATTAGGAGTTTCCTGATCCAAATCTCTATTTGGATCTGGACTCTCTGAGTGGATAGGGACAACCCCTTATCCTATCT